CTCGTTTCCGAAATAAATGCAAACCACCGAGTTGTGGTAAATCAATACTAATGAAGATTTCCGAGGATTTGATAGCAAAACAGTTGGAATTACTTCGGTAAACTCACGCTTTTCTTCGACGTTGCCCTCTTATTATCATGATTATGCGCGTTGAAAACGCACGCAACGAGATGGCTGGTTACCTGGGTTACGTCGAAGCAACAAGATAGAGAGCTAGCCTAGTACTAGTAGCCTATAGACCAGAGGGAGCCGGAGAGGTCCAGGTTTTTTCGGCAGTTTGCCAAAATAATAACCTTTCTTTGTGAAGGATCACTGGAAGTGGAATGGACCGCGCGCGCGACACACTCTCGACAGTCGCTCTTGCCTAGTGCTAGTAGTGGTAGAACAGCCTCGTCGATTCGACGAAATGATACCAGTCGTGATGAATCCTCCACCGGTCATGGGCATTGTGCATGTGGTAGATTGTGGTAGATCTGCAGAGTGGACCGCAACCCAACAGAACCTAAAAACTCGTAGACGGCCCGGTCTACGCTACAACTAAGTACAAGTACAAGGCACCGGGCATCCTGACCACGTCATCTCCTAGTCTTGTGATCGACCATGGCCATCGATACTTGCAGACTCCTGTCACCAATGGCAATGGTCACTTGTCCGTGCCAACCACCAACCGAATCGTCCGGCACATGACGTCTGAACATCGTCTATTCACACTCAGGTACGTTGAACGTTGGTGGGGTGCAGTACTCGTGATTGTCTCGTTCGGTTTGTCCGTCGTTTTCATTAGCCGCTGCGAACGCAAGCCAGCAGACGATTGATCTGACGAGGTTTGTGTGTGAGCAAAAGTCACCCTTCGTTACCCAGCTCCTTCTGTTGACGCAACTAAGGACAGTAAAGTCGTTGGACCAGAGCGTCAACAGCGAGTCGATCTGCTGTCCTTAGAACATCTCGTCTCCTGTTATCAATATCATTGATTCGTAATTGGTAGCCTTGAGCTGCGTTCAATATTTTTGAAGAATGGGTGGAAACTCTGGGAATGGTGACTGTAGCGAGAGTACAGTGGACAGAAACGGGAGAAATATTTGGAGCAGACTGGCAGCATTGGCACTGGTAGTCGTACTGTTTGTTGCTAGTAGCTCGGCCACTTATGAGCCCGACCCACCGGCTGGCACTGTTCCAGCAAGTTTCCTGTGTGCCTGGCGCCAGTATGCTCTGGAGTATGGCACTAGCTTGAGAGCTGATGTGCATGAATACCTGCACGATGCCCTCCAACTGGACCAATTCTGCCAGACACCAGAGTCGGAGGGAAAACACCATCGCCGTGAGGGAAAGCCCCACGAGCAAATATTCCCACCGCACCTGCCCGAGCCCGACGATGTTGGAGCGGAGTATTATGTTTCTTGGTCATCGGGTAGTGATAGTAACAGTGGTACAGATGCTGCTCACCCAGTCAAGACTACCAGTCATGCTGTGCAGTTGAGTAGAGGTGGTAAGAAACCAGCCGTCATCTACTTCATGCAAGGAACGCACTACATCCAGGAGACGGTACAACTGGGTGCTGATGATAGTGATCTTGCGTTCCAGAATTACCAGGGAGCAGAGGCTTGGCTAAGCGGTGGCTGGCCGCTGGACAATCTGAAGTGGGAAGTCTACAACACCAGCAAGCCACAACCCATTCGCCTCGTGGTATTCAACGATACAAGCAACATTGGACGATTCAACGCCAGCGATGAACCCTGTGCTAAGGCCGTGACAGCGAAGGAATGTGAGGATCGCTGTATGTCGGAGGGTAACTGTACCAGCTTCACGTGGCATGACGAGCACACTGGGCGCTTTGCCTACAACTGCTGCCTGCGCACCGATGGAGTATGGAGTCCCAAGAAGGAAGTCAATCATATTAGTGGCTACAAGACCCTTCCTATGGCGCTGAACGTTTACGTTGCCGACTTGTCAGCGTTTGATCTTGAGCAGATAACTGGACTGAGGGTTGGTGACAATCTACAGCGAGTTCCCCGTGCTCGTGTGCCTAATGGCGACCCAGAAACAACCTTATGGCCAGAGGGTTGGTTTGCCAGTGAAGTGGTATCAAAGTGGCTACCTGCACACGACTACGGCAATGCAACACAAGTCCTTGTGACGGATCACCCACGTAACGTCAGTAACCGTTTCTTGTACTATGGTGTAGGCATTGGTGGGCCGTGCTCTGTTTATGACCCACCTGTCAGCTACTGGTGCCAACTGAAGCCGGCGGGTGGTGGTGGATTCCAGTACTACATCCCATCGGGTCTTACAGCACACCCGGGTACAGTGAAGAACTGGAAACAGTATGACGGTGCTGTTATCCAGGCGTGGCGTCGGGCCCACTGGGCAAGCTGGATGTTTGCCCTGGACAAGTTTGATTACGAAACACAGACCCTAACCTGGACGAAGGGAGGCTTCCAGGGTTCCCGTGGCGGTCCCGGCTCAGATTGGTATGCAGATGGCGTACTGGACGAGTTGGATAATCCCAACGAATGGTACTATGACTCGGTTAAGAAACAACTGTATTTCTACTATAACGCATCGGCTGGCACACCACCACCGGCCTCGTTGCAGTTTGTTGCAACCCAGACTAAGGTGCTGTTCAACATCAGTGGCACACAGAGCAAGCCAGTGCGTAACGTTCAATTCAACGGACTGGGTTTCCGTGACACAGCATACACGTATCTGGACCCGCATGGTGTGCCTAGCGGTGGTGACTGGGCACTGGAACGCATGGCCTGCATCGTACTAGAGGGAACCGAGATGGCTCTGGTGAACGGTAGCAAGTTTGAACGCATCGATGGCAACGGCCTGATTCTTAACGGGTACAACCGCAACGCCACCTTCTCGTGGAACGACTTCTCCTGGTTAGGTAGCACAGCTATGACTGCCTGGGGTAGAACTGATGAGCTGAGTGATGGTGGTATCCATGGCATGGATGGTACTGGAGGGGATTTCCCACGATTCACTACAGTTGCACACAACATTGTACGTGAGCTAGGTATCTGGGAGAAGCAGTCATCGGCCTGGTTCCAGGCAAAGTCTGCCCAGACTCTGCTGATGAACAACGTTTTCTTCAACATGCCTCGCACCGCCGTGAATTTCAACGACGGTTTCGGCGGCGGGTCTGAAGTGGTGGGCAATCTGATCTTGAACACATGCCGAGAGTCCTCAGACCATGGACCAATGAATAGCTGGGACAGGCAACCCTTTCTCACTACTGTTCGCACCGGCGAGCCATCTGTCATACCTCTTTACAATAATTTGCACCACAACTTTCTTGTGTCCAACTACGGCGGTTACAAGGGAGGCATGGACAACGACGATGGTTCAACATTCTACGAAGTGCACCACAACTTTGAGGTGTATGGCTGGGGCCCGAAACCAGGCGGCGGCGGGCTGAAATACCATCACAATGTCCGCGCCTACCTGGACCAGGGAATCAAAGGTGCACCATCCATGTATGCTGACCCGTCCTACACCAATGGCTTTTACAACATCACAGCTGTGTTCCGTAATGGATCATCCCTGTACGTCTCGGAGACCGCGCATTGCGGCGATACCAAGCATCCACAATTATTCTTTCCTCCCGAAATCCACGACAACACCGTCTATCATCATCCATCTGTCCAAATTCTCATCGTCTGCGGCGGCAAAAATTACACAATTGCCGAAGCTCAGCAGCAGCTGCACCTCGACCCAGGCTCCCGTGACATTCCCAAACTCCCCAGCGATGAGGAGATCATCAGCTGGGGAAAGGCACTTCTTGGTCAGCAGGCTTTGAAGCGTCACAATGCACAGTTCGTGCACTGATGCAATTGCCCAGTGATTGCTTTCGAAAGAAGCTCGGAGAATGAACTAGATTCTAGTAGACCTTTTTTTTCTTCGTATGTTCGACAGTATTTCTTTGTGCCATGCATCGATCACTCTATAGCCAGTTGGCATTCCACTTCTTTTACCCGTAGTTTGAGAAATTATTGTGTTTGTGGCGCTAGCAATCGCATGTTCTATTCAGTTCTTGTCTTTTGGCTGCAAATTTACCTCTTGCTTTCCTATCACAGTCATGGCCAGAAAAAAGCCACTTCATAGTTGTGTGGGGTAGACCAGGCTGAATAGTGGCGGTCAATTCTTCAGCCTTGCAAGCTGTTGAATGGTGCAATTCCAGCACAAGTTGCTATGGCTCCTGCTGTAGCATCGCTATCATCGCCTCCGGTGATGGGCATCAAATGGTCAAATGGTGTGTGTGTGTGTGTGTGTGTGTGTGTGTGTGTGCGTGTGTGTGTGTGTGTGTGTGTGTGTGTGTTAGTGTGTGTGCATGCGTGCGTGTGTGTGTGTGTAGAGTTGTTAGGTTGCAGACCACCTGTAGTGCTTCGTGGGCTAGGCCTATGCCCTTGGTTGGGTTTCGTAGACTCCTATTCCACCTGTACCGGCACATATTGTGCATGTGATAAAGAATGATAATTGAGTACTGTGGGCTGTAGCAGTCGGCGTACCCTTTCTTTTCACAACACAGTCACAGCTTGCTGCACACTGCTTCCATCGTGCTGGGATTTTTTTCATACAAAATCCACATATCTCCAGACACTGGGGTGAGTAATGGAGTGTGGTGGTGGGGCCCATTTTAAGCTCAGCCGACCAGAGATCTCGACTTCATAGCTCCATGGATGCACCAAGTCCAGAAGCATTCAACTGTACGACACGAAATCTTTGTGCAACCCTAACTGGCCTTAGAGTCCACATATTTGGAGGGGGGGGGGGGGAGGATGGAGGCTGTGCGAGGTACAATATGTTTATCTTTTTGTACCATTATTTGGATGGCTGCATACCACTACAGAGCCTGTGTACTTTGAGTTGCATTGGCTGCTCAGCGAACAGGACCCGTTTTGAACGGTAAAAAGTGTGCATGTGGCACTTGACATGCATTTTCTCTGGTTGTGTGTTCCTCCTCCGCTCTCTTCACATGTTGCACAATGTACATGTAGTTGTGAAGACGCTGTGTTCCAACTGTAAAGAGGTGCAGTCCGGACCCAACTGCAGCAGGTGTCACACAACCTCCAGAGTCAAATGTGCAATTTGTCACATACCAGTCAAAGGTAAGGAGGACAAGGACTTGGCAGGCTGCGGCTTGCAGTTCATGTACTGGTAACTAAGAATACACGTGCCAGAGGACACCCCGGCCCTGTTTGTGTGTGCTGCTGTGTGTGTGCTGCTGTGTGTGCTGCTGTTGCAATTCTCTTTCAGTGCTTTGCGTGAAATGGTTGCTTGTCCGGTGGGGCCTGGTCTATTTCCAATTTATATGTGTGAAATAGAAGGTATGTAGGCGAGTCCGACCCCTAGACTTGAGCTTTTCACAGATGGTGCATGTCACGACCATGCGTAATGTTACATTGCATGTGAACAGCCACTCAATCTCAGGAAATAAAAGTGTAGGTTGAATTTCGTAGGATCAAAACTCATAGATTAATGAGTTCATAAGTCACATTGTGCTGTGCCTTATGAACTCATCGATATACTTGAACTATTACCGTTGATCCTATAAACATTGTGTTGTGATGACGACGAAAATAAAATTATTCTTGGTTGTACTAGTATCCAATTAAAATTGTCCGTTTCTTTCCATGTGTGTTGCCTGTCTGCAGGCCTCTCTCACTTCTGCCTTGACTGCTGCCACGGCGGCCACTGGGATCACATGGCCAGCTGGTTCGAGGCGTCCAAGGTCTGTCCGACCGGCTGTGGCTGTGCTTGCGTGTCCTGAGTGCCGTGAGTATGCCAATGCCCAGGGGCTGCTTGTTCCCAATGTGTATCCTCTCCACTCTGCTCTCTGCTCGCCTGCATCTCTCCCAAACTCTGTGAAAAATATTATTGACAAAATACTTTTTCCCTGTGTCCCAACCTGCACTAGTCACTATCTGTATGATGTTCGCTCTGATGTGCGTGTACATGTTCTACCCATTCTCATGTACATAAATAGGTCTGTTCGTTCTGGCCTTATGTAAATATATTGTGTACGGCACTGTACAGATTGGAGCTTGTCTACGTATTCATTCTCCAACCCAATCTCTTGTACATATTACATGTATTGGGATAGATGTAAACATGCATAGGGTACGCTTGCACATACGCTGTTTAGAAGATTTTTATCATAGTTCAGTACAATAGTTCAGCAGTATCAGCACAATAGTTCAGCACAATAGTTCAGCACAATAGTTAAGTATATTTTTAGTTTTTGGTGGTAGTGAAGGCTTTTCTTGATCACACTTTGCTATTGTTCATGTCGTCTTGTCACAAGTCATGTCTAGGTGTAGCCTTTGCACACGTAGAACGTCGCACGCTCCCTGGGATTCTGCATCGTTATCTCAGGTCATTCTGTCCAGCCGTATGTTTGGCATGATGTGTGTTCACCATGGCATGTGCACGCTGAGACCAAGAGCTGCAGACAGTTGCTATTCGTTTTCAATTTCTTTTGTATATGCCCTGCACCCTTTCAAATACTGGTGCGTTTGCAATACATATTTTTTGTGGTATTTTGAAAGCAGTGTATGTATCAGTGCCATCCACCCCAGTCTTGTACTTCAAAGCAGAACCAAAGGTTCCGAACTGAACGTTTTTAGTTCCCTTCGAGTCTTCAGAAGTTGATGCAGCGAATATGGAAAAAAATGGTCAAACCCGAGCAACTAAATAGGGAAAAATGTGATTGAAGCATCATTCTACCGGAGTGAAGAAGTATTCGACAGCGTATCAAAAACACCATGAATGTGGAAATGACCAAAACACGTTGAACGTATCAATGAGGAGTAACATTCCTAAAACTTTCGCGAGAACTAACGTCAAACAACTGAAGTGACAACCATTTTCCTTCTGAGTACACAATTTGGGGACCAACTAACTTACTTCACTACAAAATTAATATACAATGCTTCTAAGACAGCCAAATGGCTGGTGTGGATTGCATCAATGCATACTCTACTTTCAAATTTCGAAATTGGATCCGCTTCCAATCCTCATCGTCGTCTTGTTTGTTTTGTTTTCAAGTCTTCTTTTTCACCGTGGGCCTATCAACGGTGCCATGGCGTTCTATGCTCGTGCACAACAAAGTTATGCTTCAGTGGATTTGATTTTTATTATAGAAAACTGGTGTGCTTCTTCTCTGTAGTGGTATGGCAGCGAGTTGTAGTTGTTGACCCAACCCCGACCCCTTTCGGCGGGAGATTTTTTGACGGGCCAATCTGCCTGGGGGAGGGGAGGGGGATCACAAGTTTTAGAATAATAATAATTATTATACTTTTTAAAAGAACTTTGAAGCTCTATTGTAGCCTTGTCATCTTTTACTTCACGTCCAATCTGCAACACACGGACAGTCCTTGGCTTGGCTACACCACGTACAGTAATTGTTTCCAAGCTTTCACCCAGGAGGACACCATCAGGCGAATTGGAGGTGAAGTAAAAGATAATTTAAATTATACTCACTTGGTCTTTTTTTTGATGAGCATGTTCACTTGCCCGCAATATGCACCTCTATAGTCTGTACTGTGCAACCAGGAAATCCTATATTACCGTGTGGATTTATATTATTATTATGACTGCTTGAACTGAGTGCTGTGTACAAGTAGGGGGGGGGGGGGGTGATGATGTACTAGTACTTACAAACATGTACAATGGAGTAACGTCAATAGTAAATTTTAGTAATGGTGACCCTTTGATCTACACGGTTGTGGAGTATTCACTGTACATGCACTGAGTCGGGCCTACACTATAGAATACTGTGTAATTTCCCAACTTTTCCGTATACATTGTACTTTTATTTCCGGTACTTTCGGTGCGTCTGTTTCATACCTAAAATTTCTATACACCGAACAAACACTTACACACATAATCCAATAGCTAACTGCCTCTCTTTCTCTGAGTTCCTTTCGGGAACGGATACGATAATTTACTTTTTTTTTCTTAACTGCCTCTCTGTACCGGCCTAACATTTCTGTTCACCTAGCCTGGCCTTTTGCCCTCATACCGAAAATATTGATCACCTAAAATTTCTGAAATTAGACTAGTCTATTAAAGCCATAATATTAGATGAACTATTGGCATGGAAGCATCATGATTCACAATAATTTTACTTCAAAGGACCAGGGCTGTCAGTTTCAAGACAACAATCATAACCATGACGAACGTAAATTAGAGTAACAGTAAAACAGGGATAGTAAAAGGTGTTTTTACTTACGCTTCCGGTCCCTGGTGCCGGTCAAGTGACTGATCAGCTCCAAATCGTGCTTCTTCTGTTTCGCTCTCAGCCGCAGTGAAAATACGGAACTACAGTCAACTTCGCTAATAACGACTGCGGATATAACGACAATTCGCGAATAACGACAGAATTTCCATGCCCAGAGCAAAGTCCCATCCCACTGTAATACAATAATGAGACTTCGGGTATAACGACACTTCGCGAATAAGGACACCTTTTTGATGCCCCGCCGAGTGTCGTTATAAACGAAGTTGCCTGTACATGTACATTTGTACATGTATTAAAAGTCTACCGTATTTTAAAAGCAGAAATTTTCGGTGGTGTAATATTTTCGGTATTCTCCAAAATCAGCGGTTCGGTAGAGGGAAATTTTTCGGTAAAACCCGTTCTCCAGGTAAGTGTACTAGTACTATTGTATACAGTAGGGAGGTTTAGTTCCCACGTAACGGAAACGCGTACGTGGGTGATCCACGTAAAGTGGATGAAGGGCACCCACGTTGCTCACACGGAACAAACAAAAGCATAAAGCGAAAGGCCCAAACCTGGTCAAAGACGAAGCTACCCGGGCCTAAGAAGCTCATCGAATATTTTGATTTCGTGCTTCGGAAACTTCTTCAGCTGAGCACCCTCACAGCTTGCACAATGCGCTCCATTCTGATTTTCACCCACGTTCTGGCGGAACGTGGGTGAGCCTCCATACACGGCATGTCGTGAATCAGAAAACGTCTGTACGTGGGTCACTGAGTATCACGTGGTACACCCACGTAAAGTACCCACGGATTACGTGGGACTAAACCTCCCTACTATCGGTAAGAGTTCACAACCCCCAGGGGGCTATGAACTCTTGGTATCGGTTGTACCAAGAGTACATAAGCCGGGGGTTATGTACTCTTGGTTGTACCAAGAGTACATAAACCTACTCTTGGTTGTACCGAAATTTTCGGTGCGTTTTATTATCGGTAAAAACTGTCGGCACTGAAGTTACCGAAAATAAAACACCACCGAAAACTAACTTCTGCTTTTACAGTACGCGGAAAATTGTGATCATGCCCAGCAGTGCCAGTAGTACCGAGGTACATGTAACATACCGTGATAGCTTGTGTGTTTGTAGCGACCTCGCTGCAATAAACAACAATTAGACAAAGTTGCCCTCTCTTCGGAGTTGTAATTTATTAGGCCCCAGGGTGGTATGTCCCGGGATTCATCTGTCTCCCCCGTGAACAGATACGACCTCTGCCATCCTGGGTGCCTAAATGTTATTGTACAGTGTACATGTACTTGCTGCTAAAGTCCATAATATGGACTTTTGCAGCAAGTACATGTACACTGTACAATAACATTTAGGCATTATGACTCATTTATATGAACTCGGTGGCGACGAGGAGATAGAAACTTCAATATACATGTACATGTAGATAATTATCTACATGTATATTGAAGAAAATGTGAACGCAGTCATTCGCAGTCACAGAGCAACACGTAGTTGTTTTGAACCGTAATGATTTTCTCGTGGCTACATGTATGTTCAGGAAAAGTATGTCTTTGAGTACATTTTGGTTCTAGTTCATGTTATTGTGACCTACTTCATAGATGTTGGTTGCCTTGTTGCTTTCTCTCCCCTCTCCTCTCACCCAAGCCATTCTGCATAAGCGAAGCTGTGGACCCAGCATACTGCTGCTACACTTCAACGCGGGAATGCGTATAATAATAATAATAATAATAATGATAAAGGGTTTGCTCCCCACACCGGAGCTAGCTCGCGCTATTCCGCCGACTTTACTTGACACTTGAGAAGTTGACTGACTCACGGGGAGCAAACCCTTTCTTACAAATCATCGCCGAAGTCGCAACCACTACTTAATAATAATAATAATAATTTTAGAATTGCGATCAACAGAACGAGCTGAACCGACATTTTCACAAAGGCTTTTATTGTATTCAAAAAACGAGCGGATACGAAGGCAGTGAAGAACATGGAAGAAAGAAAAAATGTGATATGGAAGAAATGATGAACAAAAAATTGTACTTCGAACTAGTTTTCGCACAACACTCCTCAGGAAGCTACGTTGTACTAATGAAAAACAATCCAGAAAGATACTAATAAAGAGAAATGGAGTGAGAAGAAACAACACCTATGAAAATGATAATCCTAGCACTAAGGTAATAACAGGAAAAACTGCGAAAGCACTTAACGAACTTGTAAGGACTACTAGTACTAGCTGTGACACAAGATATGACACCATGGCCAGACAGAACAAGCTTCTACTAAAACAATATCTTCCATATCACATTTTTTCTTTCTTCCATGTTCTTCACTGCCTTCGTATCCACTCGTTTTTTGAATACAATAAAAGCCTTTGTGAAAATGTCGGTTCAGCTCGTTCTGTTGATCGCAATTCTAAAACTATTGTCGCCTCGACGCCTATTTAAATAATAATAATAAAGGTTTGCTCCCCACACCGGAGCTCGCGCTATTCCGCCGACTTTACTTGACACTTGCTTTTGAGCAGGGAGTGGTGCTTTCTTGCAGGTTTGCCGAGTCGAAGGTTCGATGGACTTCTCGTGTGCTCTGGATGGCAGTCGTGAGTCAGTCAAGTGTCAAGTAAAGTCGGCGGAATAGCGCGAGCTCCGGTGTGGGGAGCAAACCTTTCTTACAAATCATAATAATTATTATTAATAAGTACTTTGAAAGTAGGACGGAGGCAGAAAATATTACAAAAAATGTATTATCTACGCATGCATCTACGCAAGAGTCACCACCAGCCAATTAGGACATGTGTCAAAGTATTGAACGTTTTCGTTCCCTTCTTGTCAAAATACTACAGGGAATGATGGAAATAAGCTAAAAGACTACAACTATAAGGAAAAGAAGTTCAGAAATATATCACTCCAATTATGTGTAGAAGTGACACGAAAGAATAGATGTGAAGAATCAAGAAAACAGCATGCAAATCCAATAAGTGACAAAAACGTAGTGACAAGAAAAAGAGAGAAATATCAAGACTGACAAGAGATCTATTTCGCACCTTCACGACGAACAGTGCCAAACAACTGCAAAGACAACACATTCTCCTTCTGAACACAAAGCTCAGGGTCTAACTTACGTATGTACAAAGCTTCCAACACGGCAAGATGTAACAAAGACCTACCACGCGACAAAACAGAGAATACATCATCGGAATACCACTCACGACAACTAGCACTGCCCGACAGGTGACACTTGATTGCCGAGGTACCGTTTCCCTGACCCGACGACTTGGCCGTTGTCACCTCCGATATTGCCGCTTGCGAATCTCTCCCATTACGCCCTCCTGCAATTCCGATTGCCTCGGTCGAGATCAGTGTGCTGCTCCACGTCCAGTCTGTCCTGCTTCCGTGGTCTACCTCGTTTCTTCACATTAACCGTTGTTGTCATTTCCAGTATTGGTTCTTTTGATTCTTCATCAATTTGTCTCCTCAATTGACTTCTGGTGACTCGTCCGGGGCTCGATTGTCCAGATGTCAGTTTCGATGGTTTCCGTATCGGTCTCTTCTTCTTGTTGACTGTTGTTTGGGTTGGCTCCAGCCCTCCGCCCGACGAAAAGGAGGAGGCGTCGGCAAGCGTATCCACAGCGGACTTGGACAAGTCCACCTCAGACTGCACTGGACACTTCGGTGGACGACCACGCCGAGGTCGAGAACCACGTGCAGCTACAGGGTCAAGATTCAACGGTACATGTTGACGAATCCGTGCGCCCAGGTGCTGAAAGGTTCTACCTACGTACCGATTTTCACAATTTTGGCACTGAAAGAAATAGATTAAATTACTTTTGCTTAGGGTAGGTAGAACGTCCTTCTTCACGCTGAACGCACGGGTCGTCCCAAAGATGACATACAATTTGACACACGGATAAGAGGAACAAACAATATTCCGCACCTCCTTCTCGACGCGCGAAGAACCGGCACCAACCCATGGCAAACGTAGTACCACAGGGCATCTCTCTGGTCCAAAAGTGATCGTCTTTTCCAAGGTCGGTTTCTGGTTGATGAGTTTCATTAAAAGTGTCTTTGGATAGCCATTCTTTGTCATTATGGTTAAGAGTCGTTCTAGTTCCTCGTCCAGCAGATGAGGGGAACGTATCCTATGTGCACGGTAGACAAGGGCCTTGACGAGGTGTGTTTTGGACTTAGTTGGAGTAAAACTTGACCATGGGATATACAACTTACAAGCCTGTGAAAGTGGGCTTTCTATAAATGGTCGTGTCCATGTTGTGCGTATCCATGTTACGAGAAATACTAACATCCAGGAAAGAAAGGGTACCATTGTTTTCACCATCTGATGTGAATTTTAATGCTGGATGTAAGGAGGGACGCAGGGCGTAATGGGAGAGATTCGCAAGCGGCAATATCGGAGGTGACAACGGCCAAGTCGTCGGGTCAGGGAAACGGTACCTCGGCAATCAAGTGTCACCTGTCGGGCAGTGCTAGTTGTCGTGAGTGGTATTCCGATGATGTATTCTCTGTTTTGTCGCGTGGTAGGTCTTTGTTACATCTTGCCGTGTTGGAAGCTTTGTACATACGTAAGTTAGACCCTGAGCTTTGTGTTCAGAAGGAGAATGTGTTGTCTTTGCAGTTGTTTGGCACTGTTCGTCGTGAAGGTGCGAAATAGATCTCTTGTCAGTCTTGATATTTCTCTCTTTTTCTTGTCACTACGTTTTTGTCACTTATTGGATTTGCATGCTGTTTTCTTGATTCTTCACATCTATTCTTTCGTGTCACTTCTACACATAATTGGAGTGATATATTTCTGAACTTCTTTTCCTTATAGTTGTAGTCTTTTAGCTTATTTCCATCATTCCCTGTAGTATTTTGACAAGAAGGGAACGAAAACGTTCAATACTTTGACACATGTCCGGCTGGTGGTGACTCTTGCGTAGATGCATGCGTAGATAATACATTTTTTGTAATAATAAGTACATTTTAACATTATTTTATCATTTTAATTTTAGCCATGTGCATGACTTTTACATGTACATACCAGGGAGTCGTAAAATATTTTACGACTCCCTGGTAATATACATAATAATTATGATCAAGAGTGCATGGGGTTATGTACTCTTGTTATGATGCAGTCCATGTAATGGACATACACAGGGAGTCGTCAAATACCGGTAACACGGTATTTGACGACTCCCTGGACATACATGTACATGTACCGGTACATGTACTAGTACATTGTAGACTCATCATAGCAAGAGTACGTACATAAGGGTTATGTACTCTTGATCATAGACATACAGTACATGTACTGTCAGTAGAGCATGACTCTGAGTACACACACACTTCCCGACGACCATTTGAACTACGTACATGTACGATTGTACTACAACTAACTTACTAGGAAATACGGATAGGGCCTAGGGCTAGGGCTAGGGGGTTGACTTTGTATTTTTTTTGTATTTTGCTGATGTTGTGTTGTTGTCGTTGGTGGTGGTGGTGTCGACATGTCGTTGTTGACGATGTTGTGTTGTCGCCGCTGTTGGGTCCATGTCTGTCAATGATTTTTTTAGTTATTGTCACGGTATTGTTGTTAATTTTTGTCTTTCTCTGTAATTCAAAATCGATTTTCGTGTTCCGCTCATCAGTGAATAGTATCGGAACTGAGGGTACTGTGTACAACAATAGAACATTTTATAACAGCATAATTAATTAAAAGTGTGAACAACAAAGGAAGTGCTACAGCATTACATAATAGGTGTCAAACATAGTGCTAACGTATATAACTGAGTGCAGCCACAAAGCAAGAGGTGATACAGTGCAACATGACACAACATTTACATCTGATAACCAGCTACGAGAACAACTTTAGCGCGACTACATGCTTCTTTTGTTTACAAAGAACAGGATTATGCACACGAATACATACAGCTTCCAGAACCTTCAACTGCTTAACATAACTTGCACGGCACAAAACAGAAAAGTGAGAATCATCGTACACAACAAGACAATCTGGACGTGATAACAAGTGACAAAATACAGCTGACTTTTTGCTCACGTCGCTCTCTTCCGTCTCATCCCGCTCCTTTCCTTCGACCTCCTCCGCCTTATCCTCGTCCTCCGTCTCATCTTCATCATCATCGTCCTCATCACCACCATCATCATCATCAGTCACTTCCTCATCATCCGTTTGATGCTCAGTCTCACTGCACTCCTTATCAGCCTCCAACATGGCTCCATCATCTCCACCAGCATCACAAGTCGTTTGACCGCTGCTCCGCGTCACCGTTGCTTTGTGGCTGCACTCAGTTATATACGTTAGCACTATGTTTGACACCTATTATGTAATGCTGTAGCACTTCCTTTGTTGTTCACACTTTTAATTAATTATGCTGTTATAAAATGTTCTATTGTTGTACACAGTACCCTCAGTTCCGATACTTTCTCTGTAATTTCATATTTTCTTCCTTTTTTCTCTTTTTTTGTCTTCTGTTGTATTTTTTCTTCCAACTATTGAACTAACTTCTGTCCATGGCCATGGGCCCATGGCGGCCTTCTCTAGCTACATGTGGCTCTGTCCGCAGGACATTGAGCACTGTAGCTCTTACATGTACATTGTAGTCTTAGCTCGTCAGTTATTGCAGTTCTTGATTCAATAACTGCAATATTACCATGTAAGAGCTACAGTGCAGACTACATTATACAGTGCTCAATTATGTCCTGCGGACAGAGCCACATGTAGACTTGAAGTACGCTTACGCTGTATGTAACGGGTACGCGATACGGTAGCCATGCGGTGTATGCAGTTTACCGTAGCTTTGATCAACGCGACGCCGGCCGCTGGCCCCGCCGGGTGCATGATGTGCCGCTTTTGGAAACAACATTCTCGTTACCTTGGAAGCGCCGTCAGCGTTATCGTAGCATCATGCTGACTTCAAAAGTTCGTCATGAAAATGTCCCTCTGGTTTTAAATTTTTGCAATATTTTTTTGTCGCCGAGTGTCAGCTCAGAGACAGACAAGAGCTGTTATGTACCGTGCGTGTCTGTGTGGACGGATGGAGGAGATGGCTGTAATCCCCTACAGCTATCAACCATTTACTTGTACTGACTGTAATCGTTTTATTCCTGCTGCCACCCTCCCTTCTCTCGTTACTCGTTGACTTGTCACACAATGTTACTAGTGTCTCGAAGTGGAGCTGCCGTGGAAGTGTTGTAGTTCAAGGACGCTTCAGCAGCAGTGCGCGGCCTGTGGGCGAGGAGGAGTTCAAAACTTCTGACCCCGAGTGGTGGCTTTCTTCTTTTTCTCATAGAGCACAGTGTTTTGGTGGCACATGTAGGTAGTGAGAACAGTGGTGCAGCTGTGTCCCACATGTCGTAGTACTGTTACTGATGGCGTTTCAACTTCTGGAGGACTACATTCAAAAACAGCTGAATCCTGCGGAACGATGTAGGACAATATCCACTTTCTGCGGTATTATTTTACTTCTGTAGTATTTCCCTTGAGATCAGCTTGTGAATACTAGTACTAGTAATACTGCAATAGAGAGATTGATTTATCTGTGGAGCTATTCTTGCTAACAGTTTTAGGCAGGTGTAATTTGGCTATTTTAAATTTGGCGTTTGTCCAGAAAAGGCTCGAAACCGGGTGGTGTCATATTTATGTTGCTTTTTGTCCAAAAGAGATATTCTCCTTGACGCTCTGTTTCTTACGCTGTGCTCGGCACTCTTCTTGAGGGTCGCGGAACTCTGCGATCCAGCAGAGTAGTCGCTGTTGTGTCTGGACAGTCGGAGACCTCTGAATGTGCGTATCCTCCTCTTCCGTCTTCCATTGATTACTAGTGCTGTATTCGTAAACTATGATGTGTACTTGTCCTCATCCGGATCTGCTCTGAGTCTGGGCACATGAGAAATTTGAGTCATTGTACACTGACTTGTAGTTGAATCAGTGTACACGTGTGTGTCATGTACTGTGCACGAACAGAGGCAAATGGCATAAATCATGTACATAATCATTGGAGAGGTGATGGCTCCTGTTTAGTTATGTCCTCAAGCCTCTCACTTACTAGTACTAGTATGAGCAAAAGAAAGTTTCTGCCAAATGAACATTCGCGGTGCACCGGTGAAATATTCTCATACTTCAGAATGCACGGAAGTCTGTCGCTTTCTCATGTCTTATTCTAATTTTCAAGAAGTCATTGACTCCAGTGTGCTTAGTTTGTGATTTGAAACAAAGCGCTTTCGTGAGAAGTTTTCACATCTCCTTTTGTTCATAACTGCCGACACGACCGTGTCTGGGAGCATCCTCTTTTGGCAGAATCTCTCTACTAGTACATGTAGATACCAATACACTGAATACAGTTGTTGACAAGAAAACATCCAGATGGATGACTGGAGTTGGCTGGCCGTGGCACACAGCTCGGCACTCTTTATGACCCCATATTTCATTCGGGCAACGCAGTGCCAAATCCGAGTCATTGCCAGAAAGAGATTTAAAAATAGGAATTCGTTAACTACCCGTTTGTATCGGCGAAATGTATACGTAATGTGTGACACTCATGACCTCTGATGACGCATGGATAGCCTCCATTACTCTGATACTAGCAGCAGATGCTGTTCGTACACAGTGAGTGCGTTCGATTATGCCCGCGAATCCATTCATGAATCGATTCGCGCTATTCACATCATCAGATGTGAATAGGGTGAATGAATTTCGAACCTATTCCAGGACGCATGACATGAAAATCGAACGACTTGAATGCATGCGAATAGATTCATGAATCCATTCAAGTGCATAATCGAACGCACTCAGTGATGCCTGTTTCTTGAAGTCCCCGCATCTCCCCCAACCATAATAAGAAAAATGACCTGTCCCAGTGTGAATCTACATGTGTGCAGTCGGCACAGACTGAGAGTGTATGCTTGTGACGGTACAAACTGCCAGCCTCCGCTGCTAGTTGATACTATGCCGTATACGCTGTTTGCCGAATAACGTGCGGCTATCCTTGACTGAGCATTGCAGGCGGTTGCCTACAACTTGCTTGCAGTGCCCCAGCAAGTCGCTTTAGATGGCATGCAATCTCTTCTGTGTTGTGTCTGTGTCGTTTGCAATCAAAGCTGTACATATGCAATCAAAGCTGTAGTACATCCGCTTGGATGCATAATGCCGTTACGAACCCTTGACCTTTCGTGTTCATCAGTTTATTTATATACAAATTTCTCGGCACCAAGCCAACCATTCATTCGGTGTACAGCTTGGATGGTGTCTATTTCATCAACGATGCGTTCTCGGTCACAATCCTCAATGGTACGTGCTAGGTACTGTGTAGTTGTATGCAAAGCTGCTGGTTTCCGTCTTGTTCTCTCTTACAGTCATGCTGCATACTAGCACCCCCACCCCCGTGTTTTCATCCACTGCAGTATTACATCATCCGGTGTGGCTTGCTAGTTCGATACGGTGGATTGGTCGCCGATATGGAATTGCAATTGGCCGTACCCTAGAATCCCGCGTATAATTATCTCGATCGGCGTATAAACTCATGCCCATATGCATGTATAAGCCCGTCCCGTGGACTTTTGAATCAGATAGCCCCATGGCTTATCCGGGGGGACTCTGTGGTACTAGTATTCGTATTCGGAACGGGGAAGAATGGGGGGGGGGGGGGGGGGGGGTCAACAGCTTCCTTGTTTGCTTCAATAAACTAAATGAACTAAAATAATTCTTCGTCTTGTTTGTGTTGGCAGCCACCGAACGGGCGGAGTGCCTCATCAAGGAGCCAGGTAAAGTGTTGTACACTTTGCTGATACCTCGTGTCTCTCTATCTATGTCACTCCTGCTCTCACATTGCTGATACCTCGTCTCTCTCTCTCTCTCTCTCTCTCTCTCTCTCTCTCTCTCTCTCTCTCTCTCTCTCTCTCTCTCTCTCTCTCTCTCTCTCTCTCTCTCTCTCTCTCTCTCTCTCTCTCTCTCTCTCTCTCTCTCTCTCTATGTCACTCCTGCTCTCACATTGCTGATACCTCGTGTCTCTCTCTCTATGTCACTCCTGCTCTCACATTGCTGAAACCTCGCGTCCCTCTATCTATGCCACTCCTGCTCTCACATTGCTGACACCTCGTCTCTATCTATGTCACTCCTGCTCTCACATTGCTGATACCTCGCGTCTCTCTATCTATTTCACTCCTACTCTCACATTTGCACAATGCACATTTCAGTGGACTGTGTTTCTGCTAGCTCACTGCATCATGTGCTGCTTTCACCTACTTCGTACTAACATTTGCCTTTCCTTGTGATTGCTATTCTGCAGACTCAATTCAGGCAGTGAAGTTTTGCATTTCGACGAATGACAGCTTGACATTTCTTTTTGAGGCGGATCAGCCATTTTTGTTTCTTCTGAAGGAAATCAACGGCGGAGTTCGTGCCGGTATGTTCAGTACTTTTCTTGGTGTTGTCGTCAGCAATGCTCTTTGTGGCCATCCCAACTCCATATATGTTGCACTTAGTACCTTTTATGCTTTGTTCACGATACATTGCATGCAAGCAGTCATGCACTGTGAAGGCAAGAGAAACTATAATGTAATGAGTTTCCTGTCCAGGCAATATACGTTTTTAATGGACAGGAGTCAGTCTGAATATTGTCATTTTTCTTTTTCAGTTTGTTTGTTGCCTTGGTATGTGTCATTCTGGAATCATCATTCTCTCCTAAAGTCTCGCTGTCTCTCTTGTGAAAACTCTTTAGGCTTTGGGAAGCACCACACAGATGTGTCCTGGCTTGATACCTACGCTGGTAAGGTACTGAAGAGAACGTCCTTCGCTCGTCCACATGCTGCTACGATAACTCCAGAGACCGGCGCACTAATAGACTTGGGTGATGATGTCATTGCATCTGCACGGGCATCGGCGTCGGCATCGGACCCACCCAGTGCTTCTCGTGCATCGACGTTTTACAGTACAAGTGAGTGTGCCCAGCCTAGCCCCATATGGTACTGCCCAGCCTAGCTCCATATGGTACTGCCCAGCCTAGCCCCATATGGTACTGCCCAGCCTAGCCCCATATGGTACTGCCCAGCCTAGCCCCATATGGTACTGCCCAGCCTAGCCCCATATGGTACTGCCCAGCCTAGCCCCATATGGTACTGCCCAGCATACTTTGACACAATGTACATGTATCTGGGTCTAGTCATAGCGCGTTGGTGTGCGTGTGCGCGCGTATGTGTCTGTCTGTGTCTGTGTGTGTCTGTGTGTGGCGGTCGCGGTGGCGCTACAGCTAGTAATCAGACATGGCGTGAAGAGGACGGGCAAGTTAGGCATACTAGTGCCGGTGTAAACAGTTGACTGCTTGTCTCTGGCCGCCCGTACCCTCTGCTTATGGTCTCTTGCTGGTGTGGTGGCACTGCAGTTGATTGTTCCTAGCTTGTTCATTCTCGTCTGCAGATCCGTTTGCTCCAGACGTGGTGGCAGCAGCAGCAGCCGATACCAATGTTACTACTGGTAGCGTTGCTTCCTCGGATTCTCAAACCGACATGTTTGACTCCCCCAATTTCTGGTGCCCATCTCCTTCATTATCGGAGCGGACAGTTGATACTGGTGAGCTATAGCTGGCTGAATAGTGGGTGTATCAAATCTTTTCACCTCATTATCCAGGTTGTAAGAGGTGAAGACAATTATTGTTGCTGATCATTGGGATGCTGGAAGCTTATCATGGCAAGTAGTATTCCTGCCTGCAGACAAGCTGTCAAGTATAGTAAAACTCTAATAATCCGGACTCTCCTCAGTCCTGTCTGCTGGGGCACCTTTCTGACCTTTTTTCTGTCACAAAAAGTGACTTTTCAATGAGAAATGGCACAAAAAAATACTGGTCGGCAAAAGTGGCTTTTTACATTTGGTCAGTATGTATGTTCTGAGTGACGGGCAGTGCCCAGTCCCAATGTGCCCAGATAAGGGGAGTTCTGCTATATAATATAGTAGTGTTCCGCTTTGCAGCATGGACATATTCAGTGTGCTTTGTACTAAGTCCTTCGACGCCTAGCACTGTAGTCTGCGATGTGCATGTGCCTGCATTCATGCTATGGCTGCCTTTGGTCATCGTTTTCAGGGTCTTTAGCAAGTATGCTGTTTGTGTAGGTCGGTCCTTGCCTTCTTCTTTCTACTGTCATCCTTCCAGCTTACACCACATACTGTATGTGTACATCTGCTATCGCTTCCCATTTCGGCCGCTATTTCATTTCCCCCTGTGTGTGCGTGTCTGTGTGTTGGTTGGTTGGTTGTGCAGATTTGAGTTCCCCGCGAGGTGCTAGTCCAGTAAACATTCCGTCTTCAGGTTAGTCCCGGGTCTTTCTGTGCAGTACTTGCTCTGTGCTTGAGTTTGGCGACTCTCTCCGGAGGGTGTGGATACCTAGTTGAAAGTATGAACCTGGCTGGGCACCCAATACACGTAGCACGAGTTACATGACTGTAATGTTTATAACTCGTCAGGGCAGGATGCTTCAGGTGATACATAACCAGCCATATCACGCTAAATTATTATGTTGAAATGTTTATTTCGTGCAAGTGCCATACATTATTTCAGGGCTTTTCTTCACTTGGGACTGTGTGATGATCATAGTGCACCTATGGCAGGTGCCAGAATCCAGGAAACGATACACACACACACACACACACACACACACACACACACACACACACACGTATTGTCCTTCTGTAGTTATCAAGAAGCTTGCAGAAATGCAACGTTGGACTCCGTAATGCCTTGCGTCAGCTTGATGTTCTCACATTTTTGCTACTGAGTGCACTGGCACCAGAGCATCTGGAGGGGAAATGGAACGTAAGGGACCTTTCGCACCACGTGTACGGATACGAAACGAATGCTGATTCGTCACCTGGGTTCGAGGATTCGTCAGAGTCCCTGCGGAGAACTCGTTTTCACGAATGGAAGCCTCTTCATTCGTGGCGCGCTCCGAATCCGTCAGGTACACATTTATTTGGATAGGTACACATGTTTTGCAAGGTACACATTTCCCCTTGATTCCATGATCCATGCACGTGTGCGTGTAAAAACCCGACGCCAAGCTACCGGCCGTATTCGTAGTTGCCATGCACATTTGCATGACGACTTGCGAAACCTGAAATCTGTTTTCAACGAAACCATTACGAGCCGAATCAAACTTTCGTTTCGCATTCGATTCGTAGCAAATGCGAAAGGTCCCTATATGCATCAATTTCCCGCCAGGAAAAGGTTTTGCGGTGCAAGTCCACGACTGCACAACCGTACACACATTGATACCAACTCTGGAAAAAAAGGTCATGAACTTTGTGAGGTCATACTCATAAAATGTACTATAGTGGGTTGTACCTGCCAAGTATGCGGTAACTTGCCCCACAAAACGTGACGGCCATCTTAGGGTGCGTTCTTATATTCTCTAGCTTCTAGGAGAAGAAGAAAATAGAAGTCGAAGAAACTGGGATAACTGTAGAACGAGTCTCGAAGAATTCGGAGATATTTTGCACATGTGAAGCAATATGAAGCGCCAAAGGGGTCGTGATCTTGAGTTGTGACCGTAGCATGCACATGTGCGTATTAGAAAAGGGAAATGCGTGCACTCGTGATCAACACGTGGCTTTTAGCCGTAGTTCGCATGCGCTGATCCCAAACCGCGGGAATCTCCAAGTTTCAACCACCTCTGAAGCTTGGAGAGCTTTGGACAGCCTCCTAAAAGTCGGAGAGAATATAAGAACAGCTCTCGAACCTTTCGGAGAGTCTCCAACTTTTCCGAGAGGATTGAAGAACACACCCTTAGATGCATACCTCCCATTGATCTCTTGCTCCCGGTTGTGTTTCCTGTCCCCACCTCAGGCGATCGGTCCACGGCATCTTTCTCGGAAACAACGGCGGCTGGATCTCCCGGCAGTGTTGACTCAGCATTAGTACTGCGAGACAATGGCCAGGCTAATAACACCCTTACCGTAACCGACGGCAAGAAAGGTGGCAAGAAGGACTTTTTCGATGCTGCCATGGCCGTGGGAAAGAGCCCAATGACCATCATGAAGCGTGCTGGCCGCTTGGCCAACTCTCCGTTGCTGAGTCGAAAACAGGCTACGCAGGCGTCAACGTCGAAAACTGGGTCGGCTGCGGGCATGCCGACCTACAGCCGTCACTCCTTCCTAGGGATGAAGATGGCCAATCGTGAAGATCAATTCACGTACAAGCAAGGCTTCCGGTAGGTGCTGCTGCCGCTGCCGCTGCTGCTGCTGCTGCTGCTGCTGCTGCTGCTGAGAATGCTGAGAATGCTCTAAACAATGCAGTTAATGTAAATTGTGTACGTACTACGACCTACCATAAGTACATGAGATTGAGTATGCCGGATTTATGTATCCTGAACACTATAGCAAACCTACTTTTCAAGTATGTCACTGGTAATTGGTGACAGCATGACATTCGCAGTGGTGGTGACGAACCACTCCTCTCCGTTGTTGTGCTGGCTATGTGGCTAAGCTCTTCCGCTTTGGTGTAGAGGGCTGGACAGTTACACAGACCTTGACCACTGTGTGCAAATCCATGGCTGATGTCTTTCTATATTGCAATGTGCGCAGGCAGACAACGCAGTACAGCATGATACTAGCGAGGTCAGGCGAAAATTAAATTTTGGAAAACCCTATCGAATTGGGTATCTACGGAAAGCTTAGAGCTTCAGGCGTTTAAATCTAAAATTTGGGCTGGGTTAGAGCAACTGGAAGAGAGTTATGGGTGTTGAAAGGAGCCCGACTACGTGATTTTTTTGTCGCGACGAATGTACGCGTGGGAGCTCGAAAAATGGCACCCGGCACTCGGGTCCCAAGTCGCGACGGAGAGTGCATGATGTAATCTTGCGTGTCACGTGCGTGTACTTCGCTATGCTAGCGGCTAGCGGCACCGCTAGCGCTGCGTGCAGCACTCGAGCCGAAAACTATTAGTACTTTCTGAAGAGAAAATGTTTGTTCCTCTGCAGAGAAGGGAAATGTGCAATTGTCTTCAAGGAGCGCCAGTGCATGTACTATTTGCTGTGAACCGGTGATGGTAAGATATTTGGGATCCAATGACGCGTTGGTGGCAACGGGAGCGGTGGCTGCTGTTGATGGATGATGTCGGAAGAAGCGCTTTCTCAAGACAAGTTTCTGCAGACGATCAGGAATTTGAAAACACAATTGTGCTCGAACGTATTGTTTGTTCTGGAGTAGTACAGTAGAGAGACTTTGTTAGAGACATGGTCTGTGTGAAAGTGAACGTTCCTCACTTTCTCTCTCACACAGGTTATGTTTGGCTGACAACTATTTGTAGTGTTGCCTTGATTGAGTAACACTGACAGCATTGGAAATTTGGAAATAGTTTCCATTTCTGAAATGATGCATACAATTGGACAAAACTTTGTAAGAAAGACATAGCTTTCCGAAACAGTACCTGGGACCGGGACTGAAGTAGCCATCTCCTTACCTTCATCACCAACAAGCTTCTGAATAGATACAAAATGCTGCACACCAGACGCAAGCGAAGTTTAATCGGATTGATGGCGATTCGCTTGCTTCTGTTGCTTTTTAGATTGGTGCACATGCCTTCCCAAAGCAATCCTCCTTGCTGGACAGTGACACCAGTCGGGAGCCATAACGTCAGTGCGCCTCTTGTTACGCCAATGAAACTTGGTAGTCCGAAGGATTAGGGGGTGCTGAACACGATGCAGCAACAACCTAAGGCGTAACAAGAGGCGCAAGGACCGAAACCCGCCCTCGAATATTGGCAAAAAGCGAGAGACAGCGCGTCGACAGAGAAACGTCTGGACGCCGCGCGAACGGGTGGAGGCATTGCTCCATATCCTTACCAAAGGACTAGAAACTTGAAATCGCCCAAAAAGAGCAAGGAGACTGCACAAGCGAAGTTCAAACGCAGGTCAGTTTTGATGCCTCCCGTAAAAATCGAAAAATCGAGTAAAAACCTATGTGCCATGACATCATCGATTTTCAATGGGCCGGGGATGGTCCAAGCGCGACAAGCGAAGTCCGTGAACTGGTCACGCGTCTGACCTCGCTAATGATACATGTGCAGTCCCTGCTGTACAATGTTGGACTTAAACTTGCCCTGGCGTATGTTACAGTATTGGACTTAAACTTGCCCTGGCGTATGTTTCTCGGTATACTAATGGTTTACTTGTGTGTGTGTGTGTGTCTGTGTCTGTGCTTGTTGTCAGTGTGTTTTGCGGCACGTGGAATGTCAATGGCCAGTACCCAAAGGAAGGATTGCAGCCGTGGCTTGGGTTGGATGCGGACGCACCAGATATGTATTCAATTGGGTATGTATAAACGGCTGTTCGATGAGCTGCTCGTACCGGGTACTAAATAAAGTGGAACTACCTACGCGTAATTCACCCCATTGGCTACTGGCTTCTTGTACACTCTCCCCCCCCCCCCCCCCCCATCACAAACACACATGCGCGCGCTCGTGCACGCTTGCATAAAAAGCTAATAGTTCGGCAGTTGCAGTGGAATTCACCACTCCGGTCCACCTTAATCAGCGTTGGTGGAGAATCATCTTTGTCCTCAACCAGCAGAGTGTATGACTGTAATTTTGCTATGAACACCCTTCATTTAGTTCTCTCTATCTCTCGTTTTAAAACTATCTACCCATGCATCTGTGTGCTGGAATGCTTTCAGCTTTCAGGAGCTTGACCTGAGTGCAGAAGCTCTACTGCTCAACGACAGCAGTCGGGAAGACGAGTGGATTCGAGCCATCCAAGTGGGGCTGAACCAGCGAGGTGGTGCTCGGTATCAGAAGGTGAGAAGCATCTTCATGGCCGCATGCTCCCCTCAAGAGCCTGAACAGTTGTTGAACGTAACATTTGTTTGCTCGCACTTGAAACAATGCACCGAGTTGGTCACTTTGTCTGTGTGCCTGTGTCGGTGTCTGTGTGCATGAGCCTGTGTGTGTGTCTGTGTGTCTGTAATTTCACATGGTTTCGTCAATTGTGTGGATTAGGCAGTTATCTGGCGCGTGTCTTGATCTGTTTCATTCAGTTTTTGTCCGCTATCGGTGCTATAAGAGAAAATCTGTGGGTGCACATCCAGTGCATTTGCAGATTTGCGTGCTTCTCTTGCGTCAGGCGCATACATGGTACATGGTGGTGTGTGTGTGTATGTGTGTGCTGTGCTTGGCTCACTGTATTTGCGCAGATCAAGCACATTCGCCTGGTTGGCATGCTGCTGGTGGTCTATGTGCGTGACAAGCACGTGGAATTTGTGCAAGACGTGGAAGCACAGATGGCAGGAACCGGGCTAATGGGCATGATGGTAAGTTCTGCCGTGGACGTCTCGATACCAGTGTCACTGAGGCTTGAGGGCCGTGCTTGGAAGAAGTTGGTTGATTTTGATCTATGACCTCTTGTATCAAGAGTACCACATGCACAGTGGAACTCACGTAGCTCGTACACCTAGTTAGTACTGTCCATTTTCGCCAGACGAACTTTCCTTCCATAAGCGCGCATACCGGTATACCAATGTATACGGGTGCCATACACTCTGATAGGACGTACAACTCGTGTGTGACGGACTTCTTGTTCTCGACTTCTCGTACACCTGTGCACATGATGGGTGGGTACACTCAACAGCACGTACTTTGGTACTGTATATTGACAGGGAGCCGGGAGGAGGCTGTATGCAGTGTAGGCAATCTGGTCTCAGTATGTTCAGTGCAGACGAGGCTGTATGCAGCGTAGGCAATCTGGCTTGGTGCTCGACCTTGCAGCAGTAAAAGGATTAGTGGCATGAGCCACGAGTGCAATAAATGATTTAGAATATTTTGGCGTATTAGCAAGAGTACATAACCCCGAGAGTATGGGCCACAAACTGATGAACCAGCTGGGCCATTGAGTCATTGTTGATCTGCTTTGGTTTCCTGCTTCCGAATCTGTATTTCTCCGCGACTTCGGATGGCTTTGTACGTGATGAGCACAGGCATGGCTTGAACTTACCGTATTGCACGTGAAATCGCTGCTTCTAAACAGTAGGGAAACTCGAATCCAGGTAGCTTGATCGTCATTTCACTACATAATGAAGGGCGCGTGCCGCGCAGGGCACCCATAGCTCGAAGATCAGAGTTGCACGCTCTTGGACTCAATGGAGTCGTACACTCTTGATATCACACATCTTTTTCCTCCACACTTGAGGAACTCGCCATATTCGCGAACTAGGGCCTATCACAAATGAAGCTTGCTTTCGCCTTTTGACTGACATGATTTGCTGCTAGAAACGTCTGTTCCGCATTGATTTGGCGGTGTGCAGTTTTAACTTACCTGCTCAGATGCCTCTGTATTGTTAACGCTTACGTTCGCCTGTTATAATGACGCATCATACTCTGATGGACTTGTTCTGTTGTTCCCCAGGGCAACAAGGGCGGTGTGGCCGTGCGCTTCCAGTTCCACAACACGTACATGTGCTTCGTCAACTCTCATCTTGCTGCCCATGCCGAGGAAGTAGAAAAGCGAAATCAGGTACAGTAGCAGCGCATGCCCAGCCAGCAGCATGTATTGGTGAATGATGGTGCATGCGTATGCCCAGCCAGCATGACTTTTGTATAGGTGAATGATGGTGAATGCCCAGTCAGCATGTATGTGAATGATGGTGCATGCATACGCCCAGCCAGCATGTATAGGTGAATGTGGTGAATGATGGTGCATGCCACTGCCCTACTTGTACTGTCCTACCTATCAATTGGCTCTTAAAGACGCTCTTGAAGACGCTCTCTTCTATGTTGACTGTTTTACAGTCTGACCTGAACATAGCACAGTGTCTCCAGTTTGGGATCCGATTACAACAGTGCAACTATGTTGTTGTACTGTGGATCCGAGCTGTTAAACTCGCGGACGAGACCGGCGTGAACGGTGTGTCTTTATATTGTTGGACATTGTGCTTTTAGGATTACGCTGAGATCACGTCACGCCTGGAGTTCTCCGATGGCAAAACGATAATGGACCACAAGTAAGATGCGCTGGTCGTCTGGATTCCCGGACACACAGTCCCTATGTCTGCGTGTCTGTGTGGCCAAATGGGACCGCTGTCACCTACCGTAAACAATACTGTTGATCCCCCACTGTCGATTTCTACCTATGGAGCGACTTCGTGTATATGTCGAAATATGGTGTTGTCACTGTTGATGCTAATATTGGATGTACTTGAAGTACATGGTGCACAGTACTCGTAATGGTCTTCCACTGTTCACAGAGTACTCAATACCACTAACATCCCTCCAGCACATATAGGAGCTGACTTTCCCTGTACTGCTATCATTGTTTTACCGCTACCCGAGGATAGCTTTGCGTGAAACCCTGAGCTGCAAGCAGAAACACGGTTCCGCCTTCTCTTGTATCAGAATGTACATTGTACTGTTTGAAGCCATAGATCGATTCTTGAACTTTGTAATTGACCCTCTCTCTCTCTCTCTCTCTCTCTCTCTCTCTCTCTCTCTCTCTCTCTCTCTCTCTCTCTCTCTCTCTCTCTCTCTCTCTCTCTCTCTCTCTCTCTCTCTCTCTCTCTCTCTCTCTCTGTCTTCTTGTCCTCATTTGTCCGCAGCACCATATTCTGGATGGGTGACTTGAACTATCGCCTGATTGGCAACGACAGTATTGATGACCTCATGATCCGAGAGCTAGCATCCGGTGGTCACATCGACGAGCTCAAGAAACTTGATCAGGTATGCACTAAAGATCACAGTACACTGAGAAACTATCATGTAGAAGACATCTCTCCGAGTGCATAGATGCTGGGATGTGCAGAAAGCCGCTACTGCCGTGATGTTTTGCAAAATTTGGGTGGGCTACTCGTCTGTACAGCCTCTGTGTTGCTAATCCTTCCAAAACATACATTTCCTCTTCGGGTTTCCAACTTCCAATGCCTGGCCAAAGTGCAATCTGTACAGTGCGGTCTGTATGTTCCATGCCTGGGTTATGTGCATTCTATCCAGTATGTGTGTGCGTGTGTGTGTGTGTATGTGTTCGTGTTCGTGTGTGTGTGTGTGTGTGTGTGTGTGTGTGTGTGTGTGTGTGTGTGTGTGTGTGTGTGTGTGTGTGTGTGTGTGTGTGTGACGTACATTGGTGCAGCTTCACGAGGAACGGGCACGCGGGAATGTTTTCAATGGCTTCTCCGAAGGCGAGATCACGTTTCGGCCGACTTACAAGTTCGATCCTGGCACTGACAACTGGGATAGCAGGTGTGTTGCTGAACGCAGTCTTGCTGCAATACCACCTGTACTTGCTACCCATCCTCTTGTGATTCTTTTCTTTCTTTGGTTATTACTTGTACATGTACTCTTTGCAAGTTAGTGCACTCGCACATGCTTTGCCACTACCTTCACTACACTGCTATACATGCACACTGTACACTGTGCCCAAAGCACTGTACACGACGCACGGTACACCCTGCTCCTAGTAGACCGCACTGCATTGTGCCGTGCTGCTGCTGTGTACGAGTAACTTCCTGGTTCTCTGTGCGTGATATGTGTTGTTGTTTCAAATCTTTATTCTCACGATGACCTTGCCGTTGTTGTTGTTGTTGTTGTTCTGCAGCGAGAAGAACCGACCGCCGGCGTGGTGTGATCGGATCTTGTGGTGTGGTAGTGACGTTGAGCAGCTCGGCTACAGAGGTCATCCCCAACTCATGCTTAGTGACCATAAGCCTGTCAGTGCTATATTCAAAGTACCGGTAAGCAGTAGTTGGGACCGTGGTACCGTGACATGGAAATTTACGCTCTGTTGGGTCTACGCTGATGTCTGTTGAGTACATGCCTTGTGGCAAGCATTTGAGGTATCTGTTATCTAGTTGTGAATTGCATCAATGCGAGACTGTGCCACATGCACATCATATTATAGGGCTGAAGTGCTTCCTTGGTTAGGTTTTGTTGACAGTGAACATGAGTGGTTTATAGCGGAAAGCTCGTAATTCCAACCACCCTTGGCACGAAGCTACAGTCCATTCATTGGAAACTGGCACCCTAACTTTTTGGTGTCTCTCTCACATAGTTGTAGATATCTTGAAAACAACAGTACATCCTGCATTGTGTGACCCGTGCAATTACTCCTTGCCACATTTGAGGCCAGAAAAGTCCAAGAACAGGGAAATAGAAATTCAGCCAGGTTTTACAAAATTAGGACAGGTATGCCATGGCAAAATGTATGGAGAAGCGATCCAAAACCCAGATTTTTGAGATTTAAAGTGGGTTTTTGATCCTCAATTCGGCCCAAATCCGACTTTCAAAAGCCAGCGGGCCAGTTTCCGATGAATGGACTGTAAGTGGTCCCATTTCCCATCTCCGCCGCGGTGGTCTGATGTATTCTTGGATGTGCGCGTATTTTTTTGTCTCGCCTTACGTGGCAATATTTTGCAAGACCAGGAGAAACAGGTCACCCTTTCGGGGTAGTCTGTGAGAGTGAAGTGGTCAGACTCCGAGAGCAAGATTCCCTACTTCTACACCCTACGGGTACTTGATGCCGTGAACCAGGGAATTGCCCAATCTACCGAAACACGCTGTCGCTCTTGGTCCGGCAAGGAGATTTGAACAAAAGTGTTTTTATCCTTGAAAGCATGCACAATGTGTAATGTAAGTTAGACTAGAAGACACGACACGACGCGTACATGTACTGCATGTCACGTGTAGATGGAAGACGTACCCATTGATCCTACTGTAGGGCCTGGTGTTTGTCGCGACTGGACCTTGTCCGTGATATGTTAGAGTTCCTGGCTGAAATACCCTGGCATATAT